CCCAAGACATGCCTGTGTATAAGTTCTTTTGCTTATCCAAATTGCCACCTACTAATCTAGAGTGGCTTTTTCTTCAGCATCGTCTTGCGCTTCCTGTTAGGGAGCCGGTTTCAGATTTTACCCAGGCAATTCCCATAGTTGTGAACCAACAGAGACCAGTTTTAACACTGCTGTATTTTGGCTAGTTGAACAATATTTGGTGGATATAGCCCTTGAGGTGGTAAGAAGTGGTTATATCTGGAATATACTTTGGTGATGTGATTACTAATGAATTAGATGTCAGGTTTTTGAATATAAGAGAAGTTAGAATGACTACTACTAGTTGGTGAGAGCAGCTGGATAAATGGTGATACATTTTTTTTTTTTTGGAATGGGGTACATGGGGGAGAAGGAATTGAGGTCATGGAAGTGAGAATAGAGAAATCAGTGGTCAGGGCAGATTTATATTGTTTGAGGACTTCAATAAGCATCCAACTGGAGACACTGACTAGGCCATGTCTGAAGACTAGAGATGTAGATTTGGGAACCATCAGTCCATAGAGTTGGAACTCAAAGTTAGATAATAAAAGAATAAATGGAGAAGAGAATAGGATAGAGCCTTGGGGGAACTTCAGCATTTAGAAACTTGGTGGAAGATTAGCTAGAATTATCATCTTAAAAGTCTGGTCAGGCCATGTCACTTTCCAATTCAAACCCTCCAATGGCTTCCCTCCACACTTAGGATAAAATTCACAGTCCATCATGGGACCAACCTTGCTTCTTTCCTCCTTCCATTCTCCTTTTTGCTCATTCTGCACTAGCCCCACTGGCCCCCCTGCTTTTCCTTGAACACCCCAACTATAGTCTTGTCCCAGGGCCTTTGTTTTTGCTTTTTCTTTTACCTGGAAGGCTTTGGTCTGAAATAGTCACATGATTCTGTCCTTCACATTGTTCAGATTTCTACTAAATTGTCACCTACTGAGAGACCTTGTCCGAGTGCCCGGTGTAAAAGAGCTCTGCATATTATCTTCTGATATTTTCTCAGCAATAACTTTCTTTTCAATGTAACATGTTTTCTAGTTCTTATTAGATGATGAGAGCTAGCCTTATAAGCATATTCAAGCTAAAGAATTTATGACTGATGCTCTCTATAAATGTATTATGTCTACATTTGCATTTTTAATAGGGGCTTGTAGAATCTGTCTTTACTTTGACACATATATAAATACTTGATGACAGTATCTTCAGCATTCATTAAGTTATATTAGGTGGGAGTGTTTGTATATCAAGCTGGGCCTTACTCAGGTCCTAGTATTTAATAATATTGTTTGATAGTGTGATGTTATATTCAATACTATTATTTAATAATGCTATAATATATTTCATATTATTTAATAATAATATTTAGGAAGTTTTCTAATTATTTGGCCTGTCACTTGGCTCACCATGTTTAGTAGTAATGAGAATATTTACTTGCTTCCTGTTAGCATGTTACATTTGTCATTTCTTTACTGATGAGTACAAGTATTCTACAAAAAGTGATGTGCCTTCAGGAGGTAAATATTTTATATCCATTTGTTATATTTGTTAATTGTATCATTTTATTTTTAAGTCTGTATATTATGTGGTTTGCAAGTGCTAAATATATATGCTGTGGATAATTTTTTAAAAGTTAGTTAATTTATAGCAATGACCACACACTATTGTTGAAAGCTTAATTTTCATTCACTGTCTTATTTAACTGCCTTCATTTGGACTCTTTTTTTTTTTTTTTCAAAGATTTTATTGGGGAATTGGGGAAGGAGAATAGTGTTGGGGAATCGAGGAAGGGGAACAGACAGGTAGACAAATTGCTGTTTTGTTCTTCAGTCTAGTTGTAGAGGACGTCGCTTCACTGGCCCATGTTGGTATGATCATTGTGCTCTTCCCGGGTGAGGCAATCGGTCGCTGGTCATTGGTCGGGCCGCTCACTGCGGCTCACAGCAGCTCTTGCCGGCTGCCAGCTGCTCACGCTGGCTGCCAGTTACTTATGTAGCTCATGGCAGCCCACTGCAGCTCTGCTGCAGCTTATGCTGTCGCTGGCAACTCACAGCAGCCCAGCTCCAGGTCGAGCTGTTGTTCATCATCTTAGCTGTAGAGAGGGCTGTGCCACTGGCCTTTAATGTGGGATCTGAACCGTGGCCCTGCTGCTCAGAGCTGGTGCCCCCAAGCGAACTCTTAACCAACTGAGCCACTCTGCCAGTCCCATTTGGACTCTTACAAAGCAAAAAATATTTTGAAAATCAATAATTGTGCTGGAGGAAAAGAAATAAATAAATTCAGCTTTAGAGTATATTTTTGAAATTGTATATCATTTAACTATTGATGTCTAAGTTTAGAGCTTTTTATTAATCTCTTAATGGGAGGATTAGCATTTTTGGTTTGTAGATCAATACGTTGATTGAAAAGACAAATCCTTGCTTGAAAAAAAAGACTATATTATAATAATGTTAAAATGTGACAAATTATTTCTCCTAAAATATTGAATCCAATTCTTTCAGGTTGTGTTTGCTTATTCCAAAAATAACATATAGATGTGCAAACAACCATTAAGATATTAGGAGTCGTTACCGGAGCAAAAGAGCTCCGTGTTCGATTGTTAGAAATGATTGCTGTATTAGCACATAGTGCATAATATAAGTCATACCTCAATCTTTATAGTTGATATAATTAGTATGGATTAATTAAATACAGAGGAAGTCAGTAATATTAGCAGGGATTTCCAACAATGAAATATTAGTGGATAATGCCAACAATAAAATTCCACAGATAATGCAAACTTGCCTTACCAATTTTTTTCCACATAGTTAAAATATTTGTGAAAGCAAGAAATTTTGTATCACTTATTTTCTTTTGCTCTTCCTGGCTTAGTGTGGATGAGATTAGAATCAGTATAATGAACACAAGGTAGAAGCAATTAATGGAGGCAAATCATGACCCTATCTTATTAAGAACTCAAATGATTAATTTCTGAATAGTTGACTACACCCAATTACTGTGCTGTATTAAAACTTTAGCTATCAATAAACCTATTTAATATCTTTTAATTTAAATTATTTATTAGAGATATTATATTTCAGATGCTCATTGATCATTTTAAAAAACAAGAAAGCCATTTAAAGATTATCTTTGTAGACCTTTTAGGAGAAAGATGCCACACTGTTGAATGCTTATGAAATTGTTTATTATCATGCTAATGAAAAACTACACACATTGATGAGCTTTCTAATAGGATAGAAATCAGAAATTTTACTAACCATTAGTGCCTCTGGTTTACCATTGTTTAGAAAACACTCTTTTTCATATATATGTTAATATATACTAGCTAACATGTAAGATAAATTGGTGTATAAGACACATTCAGATTTTATAATGACACGCAAAATAAGCATTTGTATTGACCATAACTGTAAAGTGGTTTTGGAAAATAAATATATTATTTTATCAGATAATTATAGCATCTCCAGTACTTGAATCCAGTGGCAAGTAATAAGTTTTGAGTATACAGTAATATACTTTTAGCCCTAGGGAATTAGGGAGGAGAAGAGAGGCACCTCTTTGTTAGACACTTACCATGTTCCAAGCATCAGTTCTAAAAACTTTCCATATATTATCTTATTGTCCATCTGGATTAGTCCTGACTGCTATTTACTGATTGCTTAAAATATGGAAAAATCAACCTCCTAGATGATCAGTTTCTTTTTACGTGAAGTATTAATAATATACCTTGCATTTTCAAGGTTATTCTGAGTCTTGAAAATAAAAATCATCTGCTTGTATGTTAATGAACTTTATAATGTTTGATACATAACCCATTTTTAGGCACTTATATGAAGTATGATTTAAAAAAATATGGTGAATGTTTAAATTAAAAAAAAATTCCTATAGTAAAGGATACATTGCCATTAATCCCCCTCGAAATACTCCCCCACACTTCGAGCACAATTATCCCATTGTTCTTGCCATTTTCTGAAGCAGTTCTGGAAGTCCTCTTTTGTGAGTGTCTTTAGTTGCGCTGTCGTGGCTGCCTCGATGTCCTGAATCGATTCAAAACATTTACCTTTCATAGTCATCTTAACTTTGAGGAAGAGCCAGAAGTTGCACGGTGCCAAATCTGGTGAATAGGTGGATGAGGACACACCATAATGTTTTTATTTGACAGAAATTGCCATACCAGAAGTGACTGTGACAGAGCATTGTCACCATGGAGCATGATTTACGACACACTTTAAAACACACCTTCTCTCAACCGTAGCTCACATCCAATGCACTGCACCCAACAAGTTGAAAATTATCACACACTGTTGTTACTAAGGTTCCAGGCACTGCTCCTTGTATTGAAGATCCCTGCCTTTTCGTTGGATGGCACTCAATAGCGGCATTCACTCTAGTTTTTGATCACACCTCGTATATGCTAATATCAACTCATACAGTAACTCACTGAACCCTCAAAGCAATTCTGAGGAGGACAATACATGTTAGAAATGAGGAAACTGGAGAGCTTAACTAATTGCCCACAGTCACAGGTAGTGGTGCTCGTACTGAAGAGACACCTGGCAGTGTGGCTCTGGACCCCGTCTGTAGCCACGGCATCTCTATAGATAGCGCTGGTATTGTTAGCCACTGCTGCCCTGGGCTTTCACAGTTTTCCTCTTCAACCAAAAGCTCAGTAGTTTCAGAGACATCCAAAGGCAAACCAATTGTGAATTCAAATCCTGGAACTTTATTTTCATTTAAAAAAGAAAATAAATAAACACTTACAATAATAAGTCTGTTCTGTGATTAAAAGGACAAAATGCTGTGCAAACTTAAGTGGAAAATCACATTGTTAAAATTAATACATACTGAGCTTATTTTACTTATTATTGGAAGTTAGAGAATTCAGTATTTCAGCAATGAAGATAAGCAAATACGATGTACAAAATATATAGTGTAAAGATGCTTTGGAAACTTATGAGCTTTAATCCTTTTATCTATTTTAGGACTTTCTGGGACAAGTGTTTTGTACATTGGGGGAGATTGTTGGTTCACAGGGAAGTCGCCTGGAAAAGCCAATAGTGTAAGTATTTTTTAATTCAGACAATGAAATGTTAACTATCCAGTTTTTATTTTGGCAGTGGAATTGATGAATATGTGGTTGTTCACCAAAAGTGGGTTTTAAAATTTTATTTGAGTTTTTCCCTTTCAAAGAATAATTTTGACATGTTTGTAAAGGATAGTGAATATTTCACCTGTCATATGCTATGCTACATAATTTTCACAAAATGAAATGAACACATTTAAACAAAATGTGTTGTTTTCTTATTGGTTATACTATTACGCTTCAAATTTAGTGCTTTTTGGAAAAGAGGTTTTACTCCTTTGGGCCAGGGACTATGTGTAGCATCCACCTTTTATACCACATGTTTAATAAATGCATTTCTGGTGACTGAGGTTTTAATAATAGTTTTTGTTACAAAATCGGTGTGTAAAGAAGGCAATAAGTGTGTAAATGTTAAGAGATGACAATCACTATGAATTATATCTTCTGCCTTCACCTTCAATTACTGGGGTTATGTTTCATTTTTTCAGCAGTTTCATGGGATCATCCTATTTTCTCTAGTTCCAAATAAGGCAGAAAATAAATTGTAGTCTTTTTTCCTAATCCTTTCTTCTCCTCATCTCCCTTCTCCCCTCACTAACCTTATTTAGATTTATTTAACTATTTATAAAAATTAAAAGATCTAGAAAGAATACTATGGCATATGCAGGGCTACATGCAATGTGTAAAGGTTTGGGGAATTTTGAAGTCTATATTTTCACCAATCTTTTAAGAACATCAATTTTATAAAATAAATGTCAAAACTCCACAAATCTCACCTTTGACATCAAACACTTGAAATGGCCAAGTTGTCATTCTCATATTCCCTGTATAAAATTAAACTTTATACTTAATGTGTTCAATGCTATGCAAGAACTTCTTAGGATTATAAGAGGTCTATGAATTCTAACTTCCTTTATTTAACTTGATTTTCTTAGCAAATTATTACCAAATGTTAATTTGAAAATTTTGCATATCAGCCACCTTTTAAACATTCTTCTCAGGTGTAATTTGTTTTTACATATTATAGGATTTGGAAGCTTATCATTTAAATATATTTATGCTCACTTTAATATGTAAGTAATATATTATTTGTCAAGCAAATATAAATGTTTTATTAAATATATATAATTCAGATTGCATTTTCTATCTAGTGACTCAGGCTCATGAAGATTCTTGGAAGATCACTAAATCTACCCTTTATTTTTTGCTGGAAAAAAATCAATTTTATATATATATAATGCCTCCTTAAAGATTCCTTCAATATTTTTTGAAAGAAAAATATTGATCATTTTATTAGAAATTTTTATCTGATATTTTCTCCATAAAAGGAAATCATAACTCTTAACTCTTAAGTTATGTAGATTTTTTCCCAGTGGAAAATCATTGTGATATTAGTCTTGAAACTTGTTAAAAAGTTGACATTATATTGATTGGGGTATGTGGTAAGTAGAATATCCATAGTGTAAGATGTGGCCCTTGTTCACCTGATTCAACAATTCCTAGATAAGAATAAGAAAAATAAATTCATGCTAAGGGATGAAAATATCTACAGTAGTGATTGGCAGAATATGCAAATGTTGGAAGTATTTGCTGGCATTTGAGTCATGATCATTTTGCATAATCAGAAAAGATGAGATGCCCTTTAGATTTTTCTTAGCTCCTGCCGAGGCTGGGAAAGCATAAATGAGGCAAAGCCTTAGAAACCTGTTCAGATAACATGAAGCTACACACTTTATGCCATCTACAGGGTATTTTTTAATTTAGGAGAGTGTTGATATCATATCTATCTTACTGAGAAAGGTATAATTGATTCAGTTTTTTAAAGTATATGTAACTAATCTTTTATTCAGCCTTTGACCTTATCAGGCAATCTTCTCAGGCAAATAAACATTATGAAAAGGGTTAAAAGGTGGGCTTGTTGTTTGAGCAGTGGGGGATTTTTTTTTTTTTTCCTAAGACTAGTTCGGCAAGTGTTAGTTCTAAATGAGTAATGAAATGTAGAGCTTGAGTATAGCAAAGAAATTGGCTACAAAAGAAAGAAGCAAAGAGCAAAACTATAAGAACTGCAGACTGGTGGCCTATTATGAGGGAATTAAATGAGATACTTGAGATAAAAAGAGAAAGAGATGAGAGCGGGAATTCGAAGAGATGGGAGATTAATAAAAAATAGGACAATAAACTTGAATGCAGTTTACTTCCTAGGGGAAGGATACTTTGGATCTAATAACCAAAGCATACAGTAATGTACTCCAACCCAAGTGAACTGCAAATTGGAAAACAACCCCAAACAACATTGTGTACTCACCCTGTAGCTTGAGAAAATATTGGCTTTTATTAAAAACTCTGCCTATGAGAGAGGCGTGTGTCTAGAGGAAGGGGCACATGTGGATTGAAAAACCAAATTCACTGGGCTAAGCATGCTATCTTGGGCTCTCAGGACTTCAAGGGCTTTAAGAGAAGATGCAGCTTCTATTCAAATGGCATTTTACCTGCTTACCTCCACTCAATGAAAAGCAATCAAAACCATTCACACTTTGTGTTTGGAAAAGCATCCTTGGTAGTTGAGTTGAGGAAGAGAGTGAAATGCTGTTTGCATGGAGGCTTGATCTCTCCATTATGTCAAAGAAGTCCTTCAAAGCAGCTCATCCACTCCATGGATGCTTTCAGATTGCACCTTCATACTTGCTAACTCCTGCTCAGTGACATCCTTTTTCATGTACTTGATTTTTTAAATCAATCCAATGGACAGATGGTGGGGAGAGATGGGAAGTTTGGAAGATATGGGATATTTCTATAGAGGAAGGGAATAGCTTTGTAAGAAAGGATGGGGCCAGGAAGAATATTAGGGATAGTACAAGGTCAAGGAAGTGTTTTCTTCTCTGACAGGGATTTTTATGACAAGCACAACTTCTAAAGACTCCAGGTTTTATCAAATTTTATATATATATGTGTATATATATATATATATATATATATATATATATATATATATATATATATATATGAATTTATGAAAGCACGGCAGAAATGATGACATTCACATTAAGGTAATAATATGTATTTAATATGTAGCTCTTACATCTGTATCTCATAGACCCTTTTGCATGCTTCGTCTCCTCCCCCACGCCCACCCCCACCCCTCTCCTCCCTTGTAAACCTGCCCTGGTCAGGACTTAGCTATCCGGTTAAAGATAACATTGTAGGGTGGTCACTAAACATTCTACTGTTTTTCATGGTCTGTTCCTCATTGCTGGAGATAGAAGTAGAATTGTGTACTTTCCTGCTGCAGCCATCACTTTTGGCAGTCTTGTTAAGGAGTCAGGGGATTTTCCCTATCTGTGTGGGTTTAGGCTTTGGAACTGCAGCACAGGATGCCTCCTGAGGCAGATAATCCACCCTCAATTTACAAAATTGACTCATCTTGAATTTTTAAAAGTCTTCCTGTGTCCCAAATGTTATTTATCTTAAATAGCATTATCCAAGTGATTTGGTGTTTATTTACTAATTTGTTCTAGATTAGAGATTTATTTTCCAATTAGTTTCCCATTTATATTCTAAATTATTCATAGTATTCCCTTGTTTTCTTCCCTTTAAATGGCCTCATTTAAATTATTTTCTGTTAAATATTCAGAATAATTTCCTCTAGCTTCTTAATTGCAATTGTAGTGTAATATCTCCTCAGATGTGGTCTTTTTAAAATGATGACAACTATAAAATTTGGAGATTTAAAAACAGACACACTGGAGCTTTAAATTATGTATTATTAATCAAGACTTTAAAAACTAAGTTATGTTTATTACAGAAGAAAAGTAGTTTCTTGTACATAGCCATTATTAAATAATCAGAATTACAATTCAAGCTCATCTTTTTATTTTCTGTGCTTCAGTTATTGTCACTTTTAAAAATAAATTTTCTCATTTTTTTATGAAAGTAAAAGATTATATTTTAATATTTTGCAGAAACTTAGGTAAATTGTTTGAAATTGATGTTCAAGAATTTTTAATTTGCTTTTTAATAGCAACTCAAGATTTTTGCAATTTCCAAAAGTCTGTTCTGCTGGATTCAAGTTTTGAGCAAACACATTTCTCATATTTTAATTCCATCCTTCACTTTGGTCTTTTTTCCTGAACCCTCCAAAATTGAGTCTTGTGCTACTTAATTTGTCTGCAACATTTACTGTGTCTTCCTATGACTCACTGGCTCCTCTCTTTAGATCGTCCCATTATTATCTGGCATTATACCCACTCAGCAGTGTGTCTTCTCATGCTGTGAGATTATATCCAATTTTCTGCGTGATGCTGTCAGAGTTATACTTCTATCTTTAGGGATCTCAGTGATGGATTCAGAAAGCCTTCCAAAATGCGAGAATCAGCACCAAGTTTAAGAAAGATTGCCGTTGTTTGCTCTGGGAGGAAAGCATTTATTATGCTCATCAAGTAATAGACCTGTTTGTTCCTATTACTGTCATCCTGGCATGAGTGGTTCCCTATAAAAGCACTGGACGAGGAGGCAGGGACTGGCTGTGATTAGGTTGTGATGAGAGAGAAGATTCTTATTTTGGGAGGACCTGGGAATCCGTGGGTAACTGAACCAGCAGCTGTTTTGGCTTAGGGAAAAGATTTATGTTCTTTCCAGGCTGGCAATAGCAGCCTGTGGCATGCAATCTAGGCAACCAATAGTGGGCAGAGCATGAAGGGAGGGGTCCAAGAGGGATTAGTGAGTGTCCTGATAGGTGTTGAAGAATAGAGGGACAGATACTCAGAGGAAGGGGATAATCAAATGACCAACTTGCAGTTGTTTGGAATCCCAGCTCCGACATAGGATTCAAGGATGGAGCCAGATGTGTGCTGAAGTTCAAAGAAAGAAATGTGGTGGGAGGAACAAAACAGAAAGGAAGCTTGAGAATAAGGCAGAAGGCTGAAGCCGAATAACAGAGCTTGAGGGAGCCTTGAAGCACAGCCTGAAAAGGCTGACCT